ACTGGTCCAAACCGGCTGAATCTCATTCCTGGGGCTAACAGTTAGTTGAGAAGATTCCTTTGAGTAGACACGAAGAGCACTAAATCAGTTTAATTGAATCTTCACCTGTAGACTTGATCTTTGCATCCGATACTGACCACCTTATTTTAAGAGTTTCCTTCTTCTGTTTCCCCGCGGTGTAGTTACAGCTCCTACTGGAATTCTGGAAGGAACTCTACCGCCTCAGGACCTCGGGAAGCCTTGCTGTTGCCAAGAATCCAGCGATGACGAGAGCCTCCCCCAGGAAGGATGTCAGTACGTCTTCAAGGATTATGACCATCCCAACGAGGAGAGGGCGTTCATCATCATCCAAGCCTCTCCCGGGGAAGCCAGCTCCGGCTACGCCTCGGTCAACAGTACCAGCCCTCCTTCCGCTACAGACGGCAACTTCAGTCCATTTCTCAAAGCCAGTTCAGGGCAACCACTGAGGCTGGCGAAGGATCAAATCCTACCGCTGCCTTTGCACTCAGAATCATGTTTACCTCCCACCAATGGCCGGTCGAGCCGGAGACAAGCCAAGCGGAAGAACGTAACGCCGTACGGTGAAGAAGAGAAGAACCGCTTGGGTTTCTTAAGCCTTTGAAGGCTGTGAGAGGCGAGGGTTGTTGAAGCTTGAATCCTTAGTAGAGGCTTGTTTCTCAGAACATCAGAATCCTTCAAAGCAAAATGAGCGAGAATGAGATCTGGTTGTACCAAGTATCTTGGATGTTGCGTGTCATGCTTCCCATGGTAGTTCCTGGCTCCCCTAACACAACGGTCAGCTTCTTTTGAGGTGGCCGCCCTCGTCTACATCCCATCACGGTAGCCAAATCACAAGTGAAGGTGCTAAGACATGTAACACAGAGGTCCTATCTTACATGGAAGTTCTCCAAGACCAAACCGTAGTCTTTTCCAGAAGACGTTGGGTTTCCTCGTGTGCCAGATAAGGTTAATCAAGTCAATCTTGGTTCACGTTCCACATCATACAGGCTCCATGTTTCGCCTCGGTCTTTTTATTCAGAAGAAATCCTCTGTGAATTTATCTCTCTTTCCTTTGCTCTTAGAGCAACTTCTCCATTAAAAGACCAGATTAGGGACAAACACACACACACACACTAAAATGGATCCTTGGCCATCTTCTGAAATATAAACATCTCATTGATGGATCTTCTCTGCGGAGGTTAATAAAAGTAGGCCGGATATTGTAATCTCGACCTCATCTTGAGAAGGTGTGGAGCAGTGTTTCCTTGGCAGCTTGGAACTTATCTGGTCTTATTTTGAGGAAGGAGGGATACTACCTCATTTTAAACTCTTTGTTATATCTCAAACTGCTTTTTCTAATGGGACCCCTTTCTCCAAGTTGGGGAGCTACTCTATCTTGAGGGTGCCAGGTTAGGGAAGGATGGTCTGGAACAACATTTCTCAACCTCCGCCATTTTAAAACGGGTGGACTTCAACTCCCAGAAGCGGGCTGGGGAATTCTGGGAGTTGAAGTCCACCCGTTTTAAAATGGCGGAGGTTGAGAAACACTGCTTTGTAACCGGATTCTGCCGTTCATTGAAGACTCCCCTGTCGTTGTTTACCAATTCCCCCCCCCCCTTCCGATGTATTTGATGATGTTTCTTGCCTCTCTGTTCAAAATGATCAACTTGTGGGACTAGTATCATAAAGTTATTTTGCAAATGCCTCTCCTATCCCTTACGGTTTCCTAACATTCTTTTCCAAAATGTTCCTTTCTGTCAT